GGCCAGCTCGCCGCCGCACCTGCAGTTCAACAAGTTCGTGTTGACCGGCTACCGGCCAGCCAGTAGCGGCTCAGGCTGCCTGCGCAGCCTCTTCTACCTGCACAACGAGCTGGGCAACATCTACACGCACGGTGAGCTGCGCCCGCGTCCCATACCCGCGGTAGCTCTGCCTGCGCCGGGCCGGTGGCCGGAAGGCCGAGGAGCGCCCCAGTGACCCGATCCTGGGCTGCCCCGGCCCTGGCACAGCCAGGAGCCGCGGTGACAAAGCTGCCATTGTCCTGTCCCGGACGGCGCTACCTGCTTCCGCTACCCCGGCGGGGCCCCCGGGCAGGCAAGGGAAGCAGAGTGGGGGGCCGAGTCCACTTAATCCCTCTGAGCCCCGGGGAGAAGCAGCCTGGTGTACAGCCCCTTCGTAATCCCGGCCCCCTGCGCACCTCCCCGCCCCTTTCCCCACTCCTGCCTGCGCCCGTCCGGACCTGGGTGCTGGGTGTCGACTTGGGACCTGGGTGTTGAGTTGGGCAAGAAGTAATCCAGGAGCAAAAGCCAGGCCCCAGCCCCTCCCCGCGTAGCCGCCCTGTTACCCCATCAGAGCAGTCTTTGGGGCTCCGCCTGGTGGCAACACCTCCCCCCACCCACCCCGCCCCACAGGCGTCGGGGCCCCTCCTCCGCGGCCCCGTGGAGCTGTGCTGACACAGCCTTGTACGTCCTTGGCCTGTCCTGGCAGAGAGGGCCCCTGAGCAGGCTGGGCCCAGCCTTGGGACCTGTCCCACTGGGGGACTGTGGCCTGGCCAGACCCTGCGATAGTGAGCAGTCAGCGGCCCCAGCCTGCAGTGCCCACCTTTGACCCCTGTGAGGGCAATGCTGGCGTGCCGGCAGGGAAAGGTAGGACGCCTGGGCTGGGAGGAATTGAGCGCCCAGGAGAGGTGCTGGGGAGATGGAACAAACTCCTTTCTGCCCCCTTCCCCTGCCTTGCCACCCCTTTTGAAAGACACGGGCTCAAAGCCTTCATTTGTCTGGTCACTTATGGAGAGGACATGGGGTTGGGAGGAACAAGCTAAGTTGTCCTGGGATCTGGTATCATTGCCCACGTGTTCTTTCCAGAACTCAGCTTGAGTCACGCCTCCTTCTGGCCTCTGCTGACACATAGAGGGCAGGTTGGGGGTTGGGGGCCGTTGCTTTCTGGGGAGGTGATGTAATGTGGCTGCAGGGGTGAGAGCAGCGTGGGAGTTAGAATGCCTGGGCTCTCTCCTACTCACCTGGGAAAGTTTACTCAGTTTCCTCACCTGGCAGTGGGCATAATCTCTTCTACTTCCAGAACTATTGGGAGCCTGCTGAGTAAGTAAAGTTCCGAAAACCCAGGGGCTGCCTCTGTCCCAGGTCTGGTGATAGTTATCACTGTTGTCAAGACCTGTCTTGCTCTCATTCCTTTCATGTTGTCTCTAGACTGTGGACTCCCTGAGGACATTACCTGTCCTCTCTGCTGAAGCTGTGTGATGGATAACTGTTTCCCTCCCCCAGGGCTGGCCCTGCTGGGCTTCCTGGTGCTGCTGCCAATGACCATGCCCTGGGGTCAGCTGGGCAAGGATGGCTGGCTGGGGGGCACACACTGTGTGGCCTGCCTGGCACCACCTGCAGGCTCTGTGCTCTATCATCTCTTCATGTGCCATCAAGGGGGCAGCCCTGTGTACACGCGGCTCCTTGCCCTGGATATGTGTGGGGTCTGCCTCGTCAACACCCTCGGTGAGCCAAAGGATGGGGTGGGGGGCTAGAAGAATGGAAGCTGGGGGGCAACTGGGGAGGGGGCAGCAGGGGACACTCACATGAAAGGGCAGGCAGTCCCCAAACTGATGTGCCCTCTCCTGCCTCTCTCCTCTGTGCAGGGGCCCTGCCTATCATCCACTGCACCCTGGCCTGCAGGCCCTGGCTGCGCCCAGCTGCCCTGGTGGGCTACACCATGCTGTCAGGTGTGGCTGGCTGGAGGGCCCTCACCGCTCCCTCCACCAGTGCCCGTCTTCGAGCTTTTGGTTGGCAGGCTGGTGCCCGCCTCCTGGTGTTCGGGGCCCGGGGAGTGGGACTGGGCTCTGGAGCTCCAGGCTCCCTGCCCTGTTACCTACGCATGGACGCCCTAGCACTGCTTGGGGGGCTAGTGAACGTGGCCCGTCTGCCAGAGCGCTGGGGACCTGGCCGCTTCGACTACTGGGGCAATTCACACCAGATCATGCACCTGCTCAGTGTGGGCTCCATCCTGCAGCTGCACGCTGGCGTCGTGCCTGACCTGCTCTGGGCCGCCCACCACGCCTGTCCCCCAGACTGAGCCATGGCCCACACACAATGCCAGCCTGTCCAGTCTTCTAGGGCCAACACCACCAGGCTTCCCTCCTGCTGCTGGTCTGCAAGGGACCGGCTCCTTGGATGCCTCCCAGCTGTTCACCCACTCTTCCCTGTGGACGAGCCTCTACTCCACCCACACCTCGGAGCTCCCGCTTCCTTCCCCGCCTCCTTCCAGGGCAGTGTCTTCCTGTGCAGCTAGAAGGAAACCGGTCCTTCCAAGGGCCTGTTTACCCTCCATGACCTGTGAGGGTTGGACCAGAGGGATGTTGGGGTCCGTCTAGCTCTGATGGCTGGAGTCCTGCCAGCCCAGAGCCATAGCCCCACCCAGACCCTCATAAGGTACCTCATGGGTGGCTGGCCCGGCCACCAATCCACGATTCCTCCATCTTTTGGCCCTGCATGCCAGCCCATCCAGCAACCTAAGGCTCACCCACCCCTTCTTCCTCTGTCCAGAATGGAGTGAGGGGTTTGGACAGCAGGACTATTCATTGATCCCAGGACCAAGGGGCAGGAAGACTGCTGCTGCTTTTCCCAGGCAACTGGCACAGATGTGAAGAGCTGAGTGGCCCTGGCCCACTGGGCTAAGGGCCCACCCTCCACCTTGAGTGCCATGTTCTGAAGGCTCAACCTGCCCACCGGGGACACGCCTGCTCAGGAAATCTCTGGTCCACCCAGCATGGGGCTCCCAGCTGCAATGTGCTGGCCTGGGGCTCTGCAGCCAGCCTCAGCCTCAGCCTGTCCCAGGGCCCTCAGACCCTGGGCGATGTCAATAAAATGGGCAGGAAGTGCTGTGTTGCCATGCAAGCAAGCTTGGGTGCTCCCAAGATTCAGATATCTTTTATTAGACATGGCCAGGCAGAAGGGACGACGGGAGTGCCCAGAGGGACCCCAGCCTCCAGGATGGGGGAAGGAGCTAAAAGGTTAAAAGCACCAAGGCTGCGAGGGGCTCAGGTTGGGCCCAGTGAGTCCTCAAACAGGCTGAGGAGGTTCCGAGGCTCAAAGGAGGGGAAGGAGCCATGAGGGGACTCTGAGTCAATGTCACTTAGGTCCAGGTCATCCCTAGGGGGTAGAAGAGAGAGAAATGACACTCAGGATTTGAAAGGGCCCTCCCACCTCCCTACCTCTGACCCTGGGCCTACCCACCTCAGTGTTTGCCTCCTCTGGGGAGTGGAGGAGGTGCTCCTGGCGGTCCTGGCCAGGATGGCCTCTGGAGAGAATGAGGGTCTGCACGGGGTGGGCAAGACAAGCAGGGTGTCAAAGCAGTGGGAGTGCATGGGGAGGAGGCTGTGGGAACAGCACCATCAACCCTGTCCCTGTGTAGGTTCCTATTGGACACAGGCAATGAAGTGTGGTGCCCTTTGAAAGAATCATTCGCACAACTTTTAAAGTCTACCTGATCACCTAGTCCCTTTTCAGAACACATGGGCTTCAATTGAGCTGGCTTTGAAGTGAACCTGTGGTAAAGGAAGCTTATTTTGCACTTCTCTTCTGCTATAAAGTGTCCCTATGACAACAGGGTGACATTTTCTTTTTAATTCTCACCTAAGGATGTTTTATTTATTGATTTTTATTTTTATTTTTTGAGAGAGAGAGAGAGAAAGAAAGGGAAAGAGAAACTTCAATGTGAGAGAAACACCAACAGATTGCCTCCCATAGGCACCCTGACAAGGGATGGAACCCGAAACCTATGTATATGCCTTGACCGGAAATCAAAACCACGACCTTTTGGTGTATAGGACAATGATCCCACTAACTGAGCCCCCCAGCAGGACTGCACTGTGATGACACTTTCATAAGGAAGGGCTCATGGTGTGATTTCTCCTGAGAACTGTCTGCCCTGAGCATGTGGTTTTCCTTTGCCACAGTTTCTTAATTATAGCCTCTCACTTGGCCCCCAGGCATCTGGGACTAAGGAATTCCTCCCAGGATGGGGGCTCGCCAGGCTCTGGGAACTTTGTCCCCTGAAAAGGACAATGCCTTGTCCTTGGGCACTGGCATCCTGGACTGCGGTTGGAGCTGCACCACCTGCCTCTCCCTAGTGTGGCAGTGCCCTAAGTGTGAAGTTGCCATTCTGCTGTGCTCTGCACAGCAGCTGTTCCATGTTCTGAGCTCAGAAGAAACAACTGCATTCAAACCAGGCCAGGCTGTACTCCCACCAGCCTTGGTGCCCTTCCCAGGGTATGAGGGGGGCCAGGTTTATGGGAGGGTCCCTGTTCACCACTAATCCCCATGGAGTCTGGTCTCTGTATGGGGTTTGGCCACGCTGACAGCCCGTCTCCCCACCCCTGCCCATCAGTCCTGAGCTCTCACCCACCCTATGCTGTCGTCATCCCAGTTGCTGGAGTGGCTGTTGTCCAGGAGGAAGCTGTAGGGCGGCGAGCCGGGCGGGGTGGCTGGAGGCCTCAGGGGCTGTAGCCAGCTGGCAGGGTGAGCCAGCCCATGCCAGAGCCAGCACAGCAGGGCAAGCAGGGCCTGTGGGGACAGGGGGCCAAGGGAGGCTGGACAGAATCCAGGGCCAGAAGCAGGGTAGTCTGTTACCTTCACCAGTCTTACCTGCCAAAGGGCCCAGCCTCGACTCAGGGCTTCAGCAGCCATGAACCACAGGACACTCCAGGGCTGTGGCTGCCTGAGCATAGGCAGGGCCAGCAGGGTCTCAGCTGTGGCCCGCAGCTTGGGATCAGGCTCCAGCATCATGCTGAGGACAGACCGCAGCTCAGAAGACAGGCCTGTCCACAGGGTAGAACTATGTCAAGGGTGACTGGGCTCTGAGCCCAGCAGTCTCCTCACAACCAACCACTTCCTCACACAAGTCTGTAGCACCATGTCCCCCCGCCCCCACCACCACCACCACTCACCGGCAGTGAATTCAGGGGGCAAGTAGCCCTGGCGCAGCTGCTGCCAGCCCTCTCCACCATGGGGCAGCTCCATGTTGCACGCCACTTCCAGGATGGTGAGACCCAGACTGGGGGGTTAAGGGGGGTGGAGACAGCGACAGAAGACAGACAAGGTTAGCCTTGGGCCACAGATCCCAGAGCCCCAGGATGCCCCTCAGAAGAGGGTGGAAAAGAGCCGCTGTCTTCTACCATGAGCCAGGCAGGTGGGGAAGGAGTGGCTGGGGGCTCTGAGAAGGCCCCAGCAGAGCCAATGAGGGGAACACATTCATGAAGCATGGACCCAGTGTTCAGTGCAGCCCACAAACCACTGCGATGAGTCCTCCTGGCACCCCCTCCAGATAGACACTATGGTTACTAGTGTTACTATCTGGATCCTGTAGATATGGCTGGATAGGCGGTTAGAGGCAGAGCAATGGTTACTGACATGCATCATGGAACCCAGTGCCTGGTCTAGTCCCAGCTTCACCCCCTGCTAACTGTGGACTCTGGGCAAGTCCTTTAACCCCACTGTGCCCATTCCCCTATAAATGGAGTAATAATAGTCCCTCCATGGAGATGTGGTAAAGAGATGGGTGAATCTAGTAAAGTAACTCCAGATGATTTGCTGCTTAGACAGCCTGACTGTAGACTACCCTCAACTAGAGGGTGGTGGCTTCACCCCCTCAGGGCACTGTCTCCCAGCCTGAGGCCAAATCTTCCTGACTTTGGGCTAGGATGGCATTTCCCTCCCTCTGCTGACTGCACCCCAGCCATGAAGGGCCTCCCATGGCCCAGCCCTTACCTGAACACATCGGCTGCTGTCCCATAGGAGCCCTGCAGCAGCTCGGGGGCCATGTAGCGGGGGTCTCCCTCCTGGGCCTCACCAGCTCCAGATTCATCCAGCTCCACCAGCAGCCCAAAGTCACCCACTTTGCAGCGGCCCCGGGACCCCAGGAAGATGTTGGCAGGCTTGATGTCAAGGTGGACCAGGCCTTGGCCATGCAGGTGGGCCAGAGCGAGGAGGGTATCCCGCAGGTAGCCCCAGACCTGGGCCTCAGGCAGGCCAGTGCCCCAGGCCTCACAGTGCTGCTGCAGGCTGGGCCCACACAGCTCTGTCTGCAGGTACAGGATGCCGCCCTCCTCCCAGGCTCGCTCCAGCCGCACACAGCATGGGTGCTGCCCCACCTTCTCATGGCCACTGACCTCAGCCAGCTTTCGGGCCCGGTCCTTGGGGCCCCGGAATGGTGACATGGAACGCTTTATGGCATAGAGCTGGCCATCTTCCTTGGAACGAACCTGCAAGGGAGATAGTACCTGAGGGTGGGATGGGAAGTAGCACAACCATTTAGCAGAACAGCAGATTCTATTAAGATTTCACATGTGTGGAAGGTGCAGCATGGCACCTACCTTAGACACCCTTGCACATGCAATAGCAAGACCAGACAGACCTCTACCCCAGACATTGGCTCACTAGAGACCCAAGCAAGGAAGAGACAGGGCAGACCTCTAAGAACTAATCTGGAGGGTCTCTCAAACGATTATGAAATAAAAACAGCTGGCTTCAGAACAATACAGGCAGTGTGATCCACTGTGTAGAATACTAATTGGTTTGTTTCTATATGGCCAATTCTAGAGATGTAGAGAGAGAGTTCTGGAAGGAAGGGTGCCCACCTGAGAAGCCCAGCGGTTTCCTCTGGAAGAAGAGCTAATCTAGGGGCCCACATTGTTTGTAGTACTTGTGTAAGGAATACTACCATTTTAAAGGAAATATAAATTATTGAAAAATATATTTTAAGGAAAAAAAAAAGGTGGTGTACAGAGTATAGCCTAAGTATCTGCGGCCTGGGGGGTGGCGGGGGCTGGCTCTGGGACCAGGCAGAGCTTGCCAAGATCAGCTGGCTCCAGGGTGGGAGGAGATGGTAGCCAGGAGCCACTGCCAGGCTCTGGACAAAGGGAGAGTGTGCACTGAGGGGGCCCTCGAAGGGGCCTGTGTGGGGGTTTATGAGAAAGCAGCCAAATCAAACACTGAGGAGGGGTGTCTATCAGCCCAGGAGAAGTGGGCTGTCAGGAGAGAAGGGGAGCAGGCTGCCCAGGATACTACCCCATCCAGGCAGAGGGAGGGAGGCAAGGGGGCACCCCCAGACAGGCCCATAGCACTGTCACTCCACTCACCTTGAAGACCTCTCCATAGGAGCCACGACCCAGGCGGCCCAGCCTCTGGAAACTCTGTTGGAAGAAGGACTCCGGCCGGCTTGGGTCGTAACTGGGGCTCTGCAGGGTCCCAGAGGCTTTGCCTTGAAATGACACCTTCCGGGGTTTGGGCTGGTGCCAGCCTGGGGTCCGAGGGAAGAGGCGACTGATGGGGATGCTGCCCTTGGCAGGGGGCCGGGGCGGAAGGCTCTGACTAAGCCCCCTGGGCCTCTTGAGGGAAAAGCCAGGTTCTGCATGGCGGAAGTAGGCTGGGACTGGGGTCGGGGTGCCACTCAGGGGTGGTGGGGTGCCCTCTGTGGGCACAGGCATGGCCAGCACAGGAGCCACTGAGAGGTAGAGTACAGAACAACGTGTCCACTCCAACAGTTCCTTGTCCTGTGGCCCCAGAGAGGCTGTGAAAGAAGCCGCGTCTACTCCTCACACATGTTCTCCTTTAAACATGGAGGCTGTGGAGACACGAGCACCTGGTGGGAAAAGGCAGAGAACAAATATATACACACCTGCACACAGTCGTCTGTACCTAGAGGTCCTAGAAACACAAACTGAAATGCATGGGACCATGTCCCAGAGGCTCCCACCATTCAGCAGAGGTTAAATCAAGGCAGGTTCTGGAGCCAGACTCCCTGTGCACACACCCTGCCTTGTCACAACTGCTATTTGACCTTAAGATATGCAATCTCTTCCAAGACTGTAAGGGGGACATATTCCCACAGGCCCACA